GTTTCTTTCCTTGCCAGGTGCCGTTCGACGTTCGCGTTTTCATTTCGCGGACTTCGAACGCCTCGTATGGTATAAATGCTGAGATGCGTTTACGTTAGGTCAGGTTCGCACCAGGTAGCGGTCAAGAAGCTATCTGGGACAGACCTGTACTGATGAGAGCCAACAGCTCGAAACCGGTCTGCAGGTAGTCAGCGTTCCTGAACCACTTAAGCGCAGCTCAGCGTTAAGGAAGAAAACACTTGCGATTTTATTCGTTTATACGAACTATTGCATAGATTTCGGGAGGATGTAATCCAATGTTCTGTGTGGCATATAGCCAGGAAAGTAGTTGTTTTTCTCTCGTTATCTACCATTTTCGTTCATTTCATGAACTAGTTTCTGAAGGAAATATCTTTCTGGAAAAAAGCTTCCAACCTAGCCTCTGAAAAGTTATCACCAAATTTGTAAGGCAAGATAGTTGTTTGAAACACTTGAAAATTACTGGTGATGACCAAAAACATTTCAAAACGTGACTTGCAGTCACAGAACATGACATGCCAAAAATTATAAAAATCGATCTCAGCTCCCTCTTTTTATGAGCAAAATTATTTTTTCCCAAAAAACTTCAACGCCTTGTACCAACTCAACAAAACGATTTTGGATATAGGTAAGTTAGCTAAAATCAACTTATTTTTCTAAAAAATGTATAACATGCCTCAGATCAGAAATTATTTATTTGCAAATGAACTTCAAGACATCAAAAATTAACACGATACAAAAAATATTTCTGAAGGGAATATATTTCTGAAAAAAAAAACTGAGAATTTCCAGTCTAACTCCTGAAAAGTTATCACCAAATTTGTACGGCAACATAATTGTTTGAAACACTGGGATGTCACTGATGATCAAAAACATCTCAGAACATGCCATGTCAAAAATTATGAAAATTGATCTCATCCTACTCCTTTTATGAACAAAATTGTTTTTTTCCCAAAAAACTTCAACGCCTTGTATCGACTCAACGAGACGATTTTGGGTATAGGTAAGTTGGCTTGAATCAACTCATTTTTATCCCAGGAGTCCACAGCCTAGCCATGTCCCAACCTTTTACAGACACCCTGTATATATGTGATATATGTCCGGGAAAAAAGTACTCACTTTTTTTCCGTGGGAAAAAAATAATTTATGAAAAGTGACATTTCATGTCAACAGAGATGGAGTTTCGAACTTTTTTCTCCTCACAGAAATTTATTTTGATCAAATTTCCTGGTGAACCTAATTGAAGGATCCAGTGGTAGATTAGAATTTCCTTGAAAAAAATGACATTCCGCAATTTTTGAGATAAAAAAAAACCATTGTATTCCCTGAAAATTGGAGAATTATATTTTGGAAATTTGTGTAAACGTTGACCTTTTGATCCTCTTGCTGCGGAAACAAAACATAATTAATTGAAAATTGTAGATTGTTTAAGAGTGCTCCGCACTTGAGTGGGTCACACTGAGTACCACGGTACAGAAGATGCTCGATGCTGAAGCATCTCGGGAACCAACTAATACAGCTCGGCTTAGCAATATCTCATGTGCCTTGCTAGATTATTATGGTTTTGTCATTTTCTAGGTGAATTATGCAGACCAGAAGAGTACTTCGTATTTTTCAGAAGAAGATTGTTTTATTATTCCTGTTTTTTTTTCTCAATCAATATTTCTTAGATCATCTGATATTGCAAATTACCAAAAGTAACTACCTACATGGAAACATTTTTGATACTATTCAGTTTATTTCATTTTGTGAGTTAAGATATATCTCTTGTCATATATATAGTTATTTTCAAGAATATTATGATCTGTTTTATAAACTGAATGATTATGTTGAGTTATGAAGTGGATTTCATTTTTGCAGTTATTATTATAATTAGTACCTATTTGATGCGGTGTTTTATTTACATAGTGTTAATTCCTAATATAATCCCAGACATCTACATCTACAGTTTTTGGAAGAATACATGATATGCCTTAAAATTTGGTATGAATATTCCTATGGGAATATCTACTAGCAGAATAAAAGCAAAGCTCCCTAGCTCCAATAGAAAAAAATTGCAATTTTTCACCTGCTTCTCTTTCTTTACGGTACCTTGAATATGAAATAACTCGATCTACTACGTCAATTGACTGAGGATCCATGTACTGAGAACTACTGAAATTTTCGCGAAACAAAATTTATCCACGTATTTTGCCCCAAAAAGGAATTCTATTCAGTGATCTTGAGGTTTATTTTTTCTTTTTTATATGTGAATATTTCAGAAACTAAGAATGATAGAGGAAAACTGATTTCAGATTCTTCTTCAGCACACCACGAACACCCTGTATGCAAGTTCATATCGAATTCTGAGGCTTTTAGCTGATTGAAAAATGTTCAAATGGTAACTTCGTTTCTTTTTCAGACCCAAAAATCAACTTTGTAATAGGACCTTCAAATTTGGTATAATGGGTCCTATAGGGATGCTTTAGTATGGAGTAGGAGCACAGCACTCGAGCTTCAATATAAAGAAATCGAAATTTTAGACCCAATTTTCATCCCATGTGGTACCTTCAATATAAAATTGATTGATCCATTATCTCGAAATTATGAATTTTTATTTTGCATGGGAATCTCAGTGACCATGTAGTCTCCAGAATTTTCAGAATAACTAAAAAACTAGGGCAGATTGAAGAAAACGGACTTCATATTCTTGTTCAGCACATCGAGAACACCTTGTGTACAAGTTTTCAGCCCATTCTAATTTTTATCCGAAATCGAAAGAACAATAAAAAGGGGTTAGTTAAACCTTATTTCTTTTTCGGGCAAAAAAACTCGATATTGTCGTGAAGACTCCAAACTTGGCATAGAGGACTAATGCAATTATTGTCTACCTCCCAGCAGAGCCATTATGGTCTCTCTTCTTAAAAAAAGGTATGAATTTAATTTTGTATGGGAATCTCAGTGACCGTGCAGTCTCCAGAATTTTCAGAATAACTTGAAAACTAGGGCAGATAGATAAAAACGGACTTCATAATCGTTTTCAGCACCTCGAGAACAATCTGTATACTAACTTTCAGCTGATTTGAGACCTTGTGAATATTGAAAAAAGTTTAATCTTTTCCAGACCCAAAAATCAACTTTGTCCTAGAGCCTTCAAATTCGGTATTTAGGACCCTTCAGGGATGCCCTAGTGCGAAGTAGAAGTACAGCTCTCTAGCTTCAATAGGAAAAAAGTTACAATTATTCACCTGCTTTTCATTCCTTGCGGTACCTTGATCATGAATCGGCTACTAGTACCTCAATTGACTGAGGATCAATGAAGTGATGGGACACCTACTGTAATTTTCACAAAACAAAATGTATGCACGCATTTTGCCAAATAAGGAAATAATTTCTATTCCATCATTCTCAGCGATCTTTGGGAGTCTTTTTTTTCTTAAATACTGTCTGTAGGATGCGAATATTTCGAAAACGAAAAACGATAGAGGAAAAATGATTTCAATTTCTAATTCAGCACATCAAGAACACTCGACACTCGAATTACATCCTACCCATTATGACAACGTGGGTCATGTAAAGAATGTTGGAAATGGTTAATAATCACTGTGTTATAAACATTGAATACATTATTTTATTGAAAAATTAATCATATAACTTCAAAGTTCCGTTCAAATCATCATTCAAAACTAAAATTATAAATGCATATATACTTATAGAAAAAATGTCAGAAGTTTGTGAAGATGCATTGTTTTCTCTTGCGACTTCATGATGTGCAATATACCCTCGATCAACTTTTATAGCCTCATAATCATAAACCAGCTGAATACCCAAGCCCCAGGCAACCAGATGACGAAGGATCACGTCAGTGTGACGAACCAAATTGATGAAACTTGGTTTTAGTAAAGTCACTCACCAATAAGTAATGTCACCGTGACATTAGTTTCAGGACGTCACAATGACGACATCAACATTACTCTGACCAAATGTCATTAATATAGGTGTATTAGAAACGTTACTTTTATGACACTGCAGTGACGTATTTATGACGTCTAAAAATCAGTGTGACGTACCAATTTGGTGGGCTTTGTATCTCAGTAGTTTTGTCGAAAATTTACTATTCAGTTTCCTGTTCGGTGACCATATGAATTCATGAATACCTATATATAACTCAACAAAGCAGAGCTTAAGTTCACAACATTCACATTGCTATCAAATTATTCTTGGTCTACTTACTGCCTATCCAACACCCTTGATTCTAACACTTGATCAATTTTTTAAAAATCCCAAATTTAAGGGAACCTGAATCCAAAACTAAAAGCAAAACCAGCTACATATGTGTATTGCTTCTTAATAATCATACAAAAAAATGAGGTGCGAAAGGTACATGCAGTTTAATTGTAATCTCTATTTCAAGTTATGGTAGAACAGTACATTAGTTCAAAGACTAATTTCGGGAAAGCTAGGGGGGAGTGATATGGGAGAACCCGCATTATATAATATTGGGAATTATGTCAGATTGTCATTAACGATTATTAAAAAAGAGTTCAATCTAATTTTAATCATTTTATTTGTGGATATAAGAATCCATACACCTTATTTATCCCTCCCATTGAATGAAATTAGTTTATCATTTGCCTATTTACTATATTAGTATCTTACTACTTAGGGCCACTTTATAAAAAGACTTAAGATTTCATTTAAGGCATATCACTTATTACTTCATTGCCTATGACAGATGGAACATGAAAATTAAATATAAACTTCCAATACTTCCCTACACAACAAATAGTAGTTCATCTTGTCGCGTGAGATACCGCCCCCTACTGAATAGAATCTGTAAATAGAATTTCTGGCTTCCTTGCTCTCATAAGATAGCAATCTTGGAAGTCACCGTTAAGTGAGTGACTGACGTAAGAAAGATGCCACTGAAAAGCCATTCGGTTGCCTGGGTATTGAACATTAGCAACCAAGAAATACTGGCCGCTACTTCCAAGTGCTTTCAGTCCGAACCAGAACTCGCCTTCCAAAAACAAAGTGACACTGCTCCTGACCAACTTCACAGGTATCTGCGGCTTCCCCACCGGCACAATCTCGAATTTGGACAAGATATGAAAATAGACCGTCTTCGCCTCGAGAATGGCAAATCTGGATCCTATGCAGTTGCGCGCCTCGCTGCCGAACGGCAAGTAAGTGTATGGCCTGACAAAATCACGCAAGACTTGGCCTAAATGCGCCTTCTTCACTGAAAGTATATTTTTACAAGCGTCTAGGTATAGCTAGAGTGAGTAGATTAAATAGTGACGACAGCGACAATAGACCTCCGAATGGCTGCCGTCACTGAATAGCAAAAAATCTGAAGGGTATCTCCCATGCATTAATGAATTTGCGCCTTCGAAGTGCCAACCTGATGTTAGGCTTAGATATTTGATATTTTTTTATTTCATCATCTAAATAATCTGAGACTTACGAGTCCCAAAAGACGGATTCTAATAGTAAATATTCAAGGTATTGACGAATAGAGTTCCATGACTGATTGTTGGATGTTTTTGTGTCCAAAGAGCAAAAAACAGAGACAAAGCATTGATAAAGTGAAATAGAATTGGTGAAACTGAACATTGAACTGAAAAGTAAAATTTAGTAGCGTCTTCAGGAGGTCATAGTTTTAATCATTGTTTTAATCATCGCGGTGGTGCATGATAAGATATAGTCATCTTAGATGCCATGTTCATTGTACTGTGGACCACTGTGGAGTGTGGACGGTAAAAATTGTTGTTTACAAAAGTTTTGAGACATTTTTCGTTGTATTGCGGTACTTTTCAGTGAGTTGTTTCTTTAAAATGAGAAGTGCTGTCTTTGGATGTGGTGTCGACAATCAGGCAAAAGGATTTTCGTGTGACACGAAGTTCTCCAGCTTCCCAAAAGACAAAGTGTTGGAGGGTAGATGGAACATCTTTCCAAAACGTATTACCAATTCCCATATGATTATAGTGTAACCTACTTATTATATCTTTTCTCATAGCTTTAGGAATAACCATCTGATTACCTTTGAAAACTACTCCTTTCTGGATAACTAGTTCCTCTTTTACATGCCAATATGACGAAACCAAACTGTGGACGTTATTTCTTTCAATGGGCCAACCATTTTTAATATAATTCATCAAAGTTGTTATTTCAATATCATTTTTCGTTTCCTGTTGGAGCATACAAAACTTCCGAGGACTGATACTATTCATTATTGTCGATCAAATTTACCTGAGCTTCCACAATAGACTCGATTAAATCAAAATTTGGATCATCATGCATAGCTTGCTCGTGACAATGTATCTGAGAAATATAACAAAGTTCCTGGTTTATATTCCAGAAAAATCATAGTTTTGTAATGTTACTCTAATCTTTGGAGTCGAAGTGGACATTTATCCAATGATTTTCCAAATACAGCTTCCAAGGACTTATTATGGTCAGTTTCCACCTTAAATGTTTTTCCATATAAGTATTGATGGAATCTTTGACAGCCAAAAACTATCCCCAGCATTTCTTTTTCAATTGAGCATAGTTTTTCTGACATTCAGGTAAACTTTTCGAGGCATAAGCCACTGGAGCACCGTTCTGCAAGATGACTGCACCGAGTTATTCATTCTTGAAACTATCCACTGATAGTGTAATGGGTATTTTTTCACTGAAATATTCTAAAACAGGTTCATACATCAACATAATTTTCAAATCATTGAATTCTGTATCATTTTGGGTAGTCCATTCCCAAAACACATAACTTTTCATCAACTTCCTCAAATTTGCAGTTAATTTTGCCAAGTTTGGAATAAATTTGCCGACGTAAGTAACCATCCCTAAGAATCGGCTCAATTATTTTTTACTTTTAGGAATAGCAATTTGTTTGATAGCCTCCCCCCCCTTATCATTATCAATTTTAATTCCGTTATTTGTTAAAATGTGACCAATGTATTTAATTTTCCTCATTCTGAATTTACATTTGTTTTTATTGAATTTTACTCCATTTTCTCTGGTTTCTGAATGAACTTTTTCAAGAATATCATCATGTTCCTCGATTGTTTTAGCAAAAATAATTATTTCATCTATGTAAATCTTCACGCCTCGTATATATCTCCAAATATTTCTGTAAAAGTCCTGTGGAAAGTTTCTGGTGCATTAAAAACACCGAAAGGCAATCTAAGGAAACGAAATCTTCCAAAGGGAGTTGTGAAAGTGGTAATTTCGAAGAAAAATCAGATAATTCTATTTGCCAGAACACTTTATTAATGGCATCAAGAGTTGAAAACCACTCAGCACCACAGATATCATGTGTTAACTCCTCAAAAGTTGGTGAAACAAAATATTCTCTCACTAATGATCTATTCAAATTCTGTGGATCTGAACAAAGTCGTATAGAATTATCAGGTTTTTTAACAATAACAATGGGATTAACGAATTCTGTAGGCTCACTAACCTTTGCAATTATTTCATCTCTACACATTTTATCCAATTTTAACGGATCCATCAGTTGAAATGACACTCGCCGACATGTAACAATTTTTGGCTCAAAGTTCTCTTTCAATTTGAAATCAACAGGTTTATTTTTAATTTTTCCAATACCTCTGAATAAATCAGAAAACTTATCATATACTTCAAAATTATTTCCGATTTTATCAACTTCCAGCACTTTATTTCTCGATAATAAATCTAGTTGTTGAATACCCAATAATCCCAAAATTGGAGAAGCTATATTATTAGTGTCGATTATGATAAAATCTAGTTTATAATTTTTGTTGTTGTGAGATGCCTTCATCTTGCATCATCCTACTACATCCAATTTTTGACCCCCGTAATTAGTAACATTTAAATCAATGGTTTGTAATAATGCATCTAACCCAAGTTTATCGAAAATATATCTAGGTATCACATTAATATGTGCACCAGTATCTAGTTTGAATTTTATATGTTTCTTACACTCTTTCAAAAACAGCATTTCAAACCAATCACACTCTCCATTCTGTAACTAGTCAATCTGAATAACACCCAATACAAAATCGTCAGTTTCACTATCATTCATAATTTTTGAGCCATCAAATAAAGTACTAGTCATAGCATCTACATTCTCCCACTTATTTGTTCTGCAAGGATTCGAGAAATGATTATATTTTAGACAAATCTTACATTTTTTACCCATAGCAGGACACCTGTTATAGCTATGATTAAATCCACATCGACCGCATCGACTTCTCGGTTTCTCAAAATCATGTTGTGCTCCATTCTGTTCCGCTCGTCGATCTGCTTGTCTTCTTTCTGCAAATCTTCCTTCTGCAAATCTTTGTTCAGACCTTCTGAAATCAACCTCCGGATCCCTTTTATTATAACTGCTTGTCTTCCTTCTAATAACATCAATTTCAATAGATTTTGCTCCTTCTGAAAGATCTTTTATATGTTGTTCTGTTTGCTCAGCAACACGACAAATGTAAATAGCTCCTATCAAATTCAATGATGATTCTCTTCTGATTTCGCTTATGATTTTATCTTTGATAAGCCTGTCTTTGAGGACACTCAAAGTCGCAATTATTCGCTAATCTTCTTAGATCTGCCAGAAAACTTTCAAACGACTCACCAGGAAGTTGCTTTCTAGAGTTGAATTTGTGTGCCTCCACACTCGGGTTACTCCTGGGTAGAACATAATCTTCAAATTCTTTGACAACAGTTGTCACACTTTTCTTGTCGTCAACGGAGTTCTAATGTCTCAACAATTTCACAAACCAATGTAATGCAATGTAATAAAACTGCTACTTGGATATCTTGCGCATTCTCCTGCAGCCAGTAGCTGATGAATATACTCAAAGCTACTCTTGAATTTCTTCCAGTTATTACCTAGGTCTCCCACCAGACTCATTGGTTAGGGTTGCTTCAAAAAAAACATTTTTCTTTCGAAGGTATTCAATTTCCAAAGTTGGTTCGTTAATTTGACAGCGCCATGTTATAATTAATAGGTACTAAATATAATTGAATATCAATATTCGATTTCAGATCCAATTCTCAATAACAAAATATTATTACATCAACAACGACGATCCCCATCGATACCACATCCTTCAATATAGGGTAGACTGGGGTAAGTGCAAGAACGGGGTAAGTGCAATATTGAGTAATTCACGAAACGCCACTGGAACTATTCATCGGTAACTCAGCTCAGCTGACAACCAATAATACTTCCCCTCATATGCATTAAATGTGTTTGAGAGTTATGTATTCAATGAATACATTCTTCCATGCAATTTAGTTTCTTTTCTATCATGGAATTTTTTCTGTCTGCAAACGCCAGGTGATTCTAAATCTTTTGAACTTTATTTACACTTTCCCGTTCATTTCTATCATTATTCGATAGTAGATAGCAATCTGATTTCACACTTTCCCTATTTGGGGTAAGTGTGAAATTTCAGAACAAAAATAATATATACTTAAATTGCAAAAAAATGAACAATGATAAAAAAATGAGATATTCATAGAAGGACGGAAACACATTGAGGTGACAGCACATAGCTTTAAATAGTTTCAATAACTTTTTTTTTGGTTGTGACATGACTATGAAATTGAATTAGCAAAAACGAGCTCACGCACTTACCCCAGTCTACCCTACATTATACATAATATTATACAAAGTGTATTCAATACTATAACAGTTACTATATAATATAATAATATGTCAGAGTATTGAGTTAAAATATACACGTCAGCTTTATATAAAAGAATTTTTTTATATTTTCTCGAATAATTAAGAACCGATCAGAAGGCTCTTGATATAGTTCCCTGAATTTTGTTCAGAAAGTCTCCGTGGTTATCTATATTTCAACAGGTTATGGGCCCAGAAAACGCAACTTACTAAAAGGGAGATAACTGAACGGAGAATAGAGTCTTATTAAATTTCTATATTTGGTCGGTGTACGGTCATAACATATCTTCAATATGGATTTCAAGCCGCAGATTGCGAAACTTGAAGGAGTTTCGAACTGGATGAAATAGCGAAGGCAAATTGAGTTGCTACTACGTCACCATGAAACTATATTGATATAGTGAAAGGTGAGAGCACGATACCTGTGAAGCCATCCGAAACT